GCACTCTCTGAATGCCACTAGGGCAGAAAATGGAGGAGAGGTGGAGAGGAGGGAGGGATTCTCCGAGTGGTCTGGGAGAGCTGGGAAGCAGTCACAGCAGCCACACTGCAGTGCCAGCCAGGGCTGGGTAGAGGAGAGGCAGAGAGGGCGGCAGCTGTAATCTGTGTAGATGAAGTCTCTAAAATCACATAGCACAGTCCCATTTTGTAGGCAATCGGCTTTTAGAACTGCAGAGCCAGGCTAGCTGAGGGGGCTCTGCTGCTGCTTTCTGCAAGGCCAACACAATTTTAATAGTTATACATTTATCCTGGCGACTTGCAGGCAGTATTATGATTCTCCAAGTTTTTCACTGGCACAGAAGCTGATTTTCTCTTTGCTCACCTTGTTCTGAATTAAAGCAGTACAAGAAAGTAGTTGTTTTAACGTACATGTTAAAACACGCACGCTAAAGAAAGTAACTTTTGAAGTGAAATGGTGTGGATTTTAAAGACTTGTAAATTACAAGTTAGAGGGGAGGATTTTTAATCTGACATCATTGGGAATGTGGAAGGGATGAGGAAAGACACTGTGAGTATCCTCACCTTTTATTTGTTCTGGAGGACTTCCTGGGTGTTTTCCTTACCAGGAAAATGAAATAGAAAATGGTGTTTACAAAAATGCTATTGAATGAGTAAATGCATTCCAGTGAATGAATAAGGAAAGGTGAAAGTGTGACTTACTGGAATTTCTCTTAATCTTATAGATGCCTTGATTTCCCTCGCTAACTACAGTCAAGACGGTGATGGACCACTGTGCCGACCTGTAATTCTACTGCCTGTGGATAGTGCTCCTCCCTTCCTGGAACTTAAAAATTCACGCCATCCATGCATTACAAAAACTTTCTTTGGGGATGATTTCATTCCTAATGACATCGTGATAGGCAGCAAAGATGAAGATGGCAGTAGTGAAGCTTCCTGTGTCTTAGTAACTGGCCCGAATATGGGTGGCAAATCTACGCTCATGAGACAGGTGATGGTCTATTGACATGGGATGTTGCAGAGTACATCTGTGTTTTGCGTAAAGGAATAGCATGACTTGACTGTTTATAACTGTCAGAGGAGGTCCATGAGTGGTCTTCAGGGTGTGCAGTGCAAGGACAAAGTATAACGTGGTAGAAAATGCCCGTGTTTAGATAGTGGATTTTCTACTTGAGTGAGGGGGGGGAAAAGTAGTAGAGTAACTTTTCTCTCTTCCAAGTGGCCTTATCCATATCCAGGACTTGGTATCATCTAGGAGAAGATGCTTCTGCAGGTAAACTAGATGAAAATAGGGAGCAGCAGCAGCTGTGAAAGCAACAGGGAGTTTGCTTTATAAACACTGCTTGCTGTGACAACTTGGAGCTGTTAAAACAGTAGGAAGTTTATGTACTCCAGCCTTTGTTTTAGGGGGAACAGAGTCTCATTCCCTCCTTCTCTGTGTGGAGCTGAAGCTCCAAGCACATGTGACTGTTTTCATGTTTGTTCTGCAGGCTGGTCTCCTGGCTATAATGGCTCAACTGGGATGCTACGTACCTGCTGAGGTCTGCAGGCTGACACCGATTGACAGAGTGTTCACGAGGCTTGGTGCCTCAGACAGGATTATGTCAGGTAAGTGGCTGAAATCCAGCTCTCCACAGTGTTCTTGCCAAGGAGGGAGCTGCTTTCCTTGCTCTGAGCGGCAAGGGGAAAGGGATCATCTGTTGATTTTGCAGAGAGAGCTGAGCACCATTAGTTGTCTCATTGCTCAGAGTAGAACCAGGGCTGTAGTTATCCTTCATTTGTTTGATGTGCTTGCCCTCTGTTACATTTGACAGACACATATGATCACTTTTTAATGAGTTTTAACGCCTGCCTTCCACCTGGGTGCAAGTCTAAGGAATATCTTTCTGGATAGTGCAGAGCTGATTGTGTTCTACTTACATAGGTATCTTTTTCCAAGTGTTCTGGAATAGGACAGTGATGTGCAGGCAGCTGTTGTAGAGGATTTGTTTCTGTACTTTCCATGGCAGCCACTTTGTAATGGATGTCAACAGGACTTTTGTGAATTAAATGTTAAGTAATAGCATTTTTTACTTACTGGTGTGATTTTATGGGTGTATTTTCTAAAGAGAATAAATGGTTATTCCTAAATACTGTTAAGAACATGGGAATTTCTTTAATGCAGAAAATCGGATTGCTGCTTAATAACTCATGTTGAAAAACTTAGGTTTGAGCTCAGTAGTGCTCATGCAGCACAAGTACAGGAAGTAAATACTCGTTTGCTCTGAAGTTATATTAATTGCTGCTGCGTGTGGTTATTTGGAATGAACCCTACAAAGCACTAGTAACTCTGGACTTTATGCATGTGGATTTATCACGTGCAAGGCTCTGAATAATTGTGTGCTTCTGCTTGTGAGCTGCTAAAGAACAATTTCAGGTCTAAATTTCAGCCTTCATATTACCCAGGGATGTTCAGTCCTTAGCAGGGGTCTGTTTCTTTTGCCATACTTCACTCGAGTACCTATGAGTATCAGTTATCTGAATAATTAATTACCTGATGATATCAACAACCAGACCAGTAAGTCTGGTCTCTTAAGTCTCTTTTAAGCTTTTCTGCTTGCTTTTTTCACAGTGAAAGGCCACACACCTTGGGCCTGCCTAGGAGCACAAAGACTCTCCCCATCTTGTACCCTTCGTGCCCCTTTTTGTCCAGCTGATATATCTAACCAGTGATGTTAAAAGTAGAGAGATGAGGTGTCCTAAAACTTAATTAACTGTACTTGTGCCAATGCCTGAACACTTAAGGAACCAAAACCTGCTTTTTTTTCCCTGGCAAATGGAGACTGTTTTCATGCTGGAAAAAAAGCAGCTTTATGCTTCTGTTCATCTTCAGTTTGCTGTCAAGTTTCATTTCAGCTTGACCAAGATTTTAGTGCAGCTTAAATGAGGGTTTAGTTGTGGTTTTCAGATCTTTGCCTACTTCATGGTGTGTTTTTTATCATTTCTTTTATAGGTGAAAGTACCTTCTTCGTTGAATTGAGTGAGACTTCCAGCATTCTCCAGCATGCAACAGAGCACTCCCTTGTTCTTGTGGATGAACTGGGTAATCAGTCTGTGTTATAATAGATGGAAACTGAAGGTTAAAGGCTATCGTCAAGGTTGTTGGGCTGTCTAAATGACAACCAAGAACCCAGGGGCCATTTTACCATAATGCTCCCAATGTTTAACTGCTCAGTATCCATGTAATTCTCCCAAAACACACTTCTTGGATGCCCTTGGACCTAATGCCCCACCTTCCATCCTCAAGTAAGTCATTATTAGCTTATTTCTAGCTGAGTTTCCCGCTTTCCTTTGGATGATTACTTGCAGCAAACCTCGAGCAAGCCAGTAGCAAGTCTCAAGAGAGAAGAAATGTCATTTTCTACAGTGTGGAAGAGAGTGGGATTGTCACAGGACAAATACTCGGGGTCGCTTCATGCTGGGGCTGGTGGCTGTCACCACTCGCTGCTGTTGTCAATCTTCCACACAGCAGGGAGGAAGGGAAACAACATAAACTGATAGGGCAGGTTTGTGCCTTGGCCTACAAGAAATCTGGACAGGGACTTTCTGTAAGGACCTGTAGGGACAGCACAGGGGGAAATGGCTTTAACTTAACAGAGGGGAGATTGAGATGAGACATTAGGAAGAAATTCTTCCCTGTGAGGGTGCTGAGGCACTGGCACAGGGTGCCCAGAGAAGCTGTGGCTGCCCCATCCCTGGCAGTGTTCAAGGCCAGGTTGGACACAGGGGCTTGGAGCAACCTGGTCTAGTGGAAGGTGTCCCTGCCCGTGGCAGGGGTTTGGAACCAGATAAGCTTTAAGGTCCCTTCTCAACCCATTCTGATTCTGTAATAGATGGCAAACAATGTGTTGCATTTGCCTTTAGAAAAGCATCTTTCCTGCAGTTTTTTAATCTGAACAATTAAGGGTGAACACTGAGTTCACTTTGCCACTCTTGTTCCTCCAGGCAGAGGCACAGCTACTTTTGACGGAACAGCTATAGCCAGTGCAGTTGTGAAGGAGCTTGCAGAGAAGATCAAGTGCCGGACCCTGTTCTCCACCCACTACCATTCACTGGTGGAGGACCATGCGCACAACGTGGCTGTGCGCCTGGGGCACATGGTAGGTGTGATGGTGGGGCCACTGAGGTGTGGGGTTTTGCCTTATCCCTGCCGTCCTGCTCTCCTCTGCCCAGAGTCACCTGGAGGAAAGGATGTGACGGTTACCTAAACACATGAACCCTTACACACACTTACTCTTTCTAGGCATGTATGGTTGAAAATGAGAGTGAGGATCCAAGCCAGGAAACAATCACGTTCCTGTACAAGTTCACTGAAGGAGCGTGTCCGAAGAGCTATGGCTTCAATGCAGCAAGACTGGCCGATATTCCAGAGGAAGTTATTCAGAAGGGGCACAGAAAAGCAAAGGAGTTTGAAAGAATGACCATGTCACTGAGAGTATTCAGGTAAGGCCTTAGTTTCCCTGTTAGAAGTCCTGCATTGCTTAGCAGGCATCCATCTTAAACTTTGGGTGGTGGCTTTTGCTGACAGCCTTAACAACAGAGGGAGCAGTTACTCTGTGAGTATCAAATGTACTTCACCAGCAGTCAGGACGTACTGAAGCCTGACTTACACAAGGGCAGATATGATGAGTAATGTGGTATTTGAAGCCCCTGCTAGTCTCCAGGGCTCAGAGCTGAATTTGCATAGAGGTGTCTGGGAGTTGAGCAGCTTTATACCAGACACAGGATGGCATCTGCGTCCCCTAAGGCGGTGCGAGGGAGGTTTAAGCATCTGCATGCAGTAAAGCTGACTCTCATCTCCCTCAGGTACCTGTGCCTGGTGGCGGACGGTGCAGTGAGGGATGGAAACGCTGTTCAGAAACTTACCACTATGATCAACCATCTGTAAGGACCCAAGTGGCTTTGGAGTGGTGACTTCTCAAAAAAAGCTGGTATCAGACAACGTTATGATCTAATAAACTTTATTTTTTAAAAATGACCATTTTTCCATTGTCTTTCCTAGGAAATTAAACCCTTTAATTCTTACCTACCCTCTACATAATGGTTATTGAGTACTCCACAATATATTAAGTCTAGATGTTATGGTACATGCATACACTTTCAGGCTGTTGATTACCCACTGTCACCAATACACATAAATGGAAAAAAGCTATGAAACTGGATAGGGCTGTATATATACTTGTCTCAGCTTCATTAGAGCAGGAAATTGCTGTGATTTCCAGCAGGTTAAGTAATGTCCGAGACTGTTCAAAAAAAACTATGAACAGAGTAAAATACAAGACTGTTTTGAGGAGACTTTCTACCGTGTACTTTAAAACATAGTAAAATTTCTTTCACAAAACTTAGTTACGTGGGTACTTTGTTTTATAGTGCATTATAGTCTAGGAAGTCTCATTAAAACACTCGCTCTTTTCTTCTTTGTTAGGGTGGTTTGAGTACAGACTATTGCTGGGGCAGGGAAGGAGATTATTCTAACTTCGGAGGACACCAGAAAAATTGCTGGATATAATTTAAGATTAGTGTTTTCTCTTTCATAGAAAGAACGTACATACTGGGACATGAGTACAGTTACAGCAAGTCTAGGTGTGCTAACAAAACAGGACACATTCAAGTACAATAAGATTTTTTTTTTTTGCTTGAAATTAGAAACAAACTACATGAGATTAAAGCATTAAACTCATATTTCTCAATCTGAATAAATGTTAAAAAAAATCAAAAGAAATGCAGAAGTGCTAGCTCACATTTTTTTTTTACCATGTTACAAAAGCAATTGGTACCCATGTCCATAAAGGCAGCAACAAAGAATGCTGCTTGTCTACAGAATAGTACTACTGCAAATTGGACTGCGCTTCAATGCTACTTGTAAAAACACCAGCTTTCAGAAGTTGGTATCTGTACAAAATTGCAGCTTATTTTTTTTCTTCACTTCTGTCCCTTCAAAGTCTTTGTTTTACACAGTAATGCTAAAACGCCCAGTTCTGTTATCCTGAGTCAACATATTGCCACTTTCTTTTTTGGTAGGTTGAGCTCCATAGTGTCAACACCTCACACATCCGCTTTAACACAGTGTCTTTCTGCAGAAATGGGCAAGTGTAACTTCCTCCAAAAAAAAGGTTTGAACAGTTATGCTATTCGAATGGCAGGACTTGCTTTCTGAAAGGAATTCAGTTGTGCTGCAATGTATTGGATTCTATAGGTGGAGCAGAGTCATATAGTGTGTCTGTATCATGTGTAGGCTCTCCAGCAAGCGTACAGGGATTGGACAGTGTTCCAGCACCACAGTCACAGAAAAACCTGCAACGAGAGACAGCTCTTTAATTCCTCCTGCACTTGCACTGTCCAAACAGCTCAGAGGACGTGCCCAGAACATACCTATCGTGTCTAATGAATTCTACGTCATGTCCTTGATGGCACTTCTTAATGCAGTTCACGCATATGGCATTGCGGTCCGTGGTGTTACAGGTGTGACATCTGAAGGGAAACATCACATTTAAGCACAGGTCAAAAAGGGGTGTGCTTGAGTGAAGTGCTGGGGGAGCATCTAGGGGCAGAACAGGGCTGAGAGAAAGATAGGGAAGGACTGCTTGGGCCAAAAGAAACCTGGAGAGGGACTTCTGACAAGGGCACGTATGGACAGGACAAGGGGGAATGGCTTTAAACTGATTTAGATGAGACATCAGGTAGAAATTCTTCCCTGTGAGGGTGCTGAGGCGCTGGCACAGGGTGCCCAGAGAAGCTGTGGCTGCCCCATCCCTGGCAGTGTTCAAGGCCAGGCTGGACACAGGGGCTTGGAGCAAGCTGCTCTAGTGGAAGGAGTCCCTGCCTGTGGAAGGGGGTTGAGACTAGATGAGCTTTAAGGTCTCTTCTGACTCAAGCCATCCTAGAATTCTATGACAGTGAGAACTTGCTTAATCCTCATCTGTTGCAGCTGAGGAAGAGCATGCATCTATGTGCTACCAGACACATGGCAACTGTTTTAGGGGTCTTAGTATAAGAGAAATTGCGTTTATTTGAAAACCTGGCTGTAGGCAATGGAAAAAAAAACCTGTTACCTGTAGAAGTCATGCATCGGGTAGCTGGTGTAACTGGATATCTTATATAAACACTGGCCTCTACTGACAGCTTTTTCTATGGCATCTTGATTGTTCATTATTTTGTTATCTGTTGGGGGGGAAACAAAGTCAAGAACTAATCATACCTGGACAGATAACTCTGGTTTAGTTTTGGCACTGAAGCATACCAAATCTTCCATGCCAGGTTAGAAGACAGATGCCCAAAGATTGCAGTGCACTCCTTGACCAGACAGACTCTTCCTTTTTGCACACATTGCATAAAATACCTGATCAGCCTTCCTTTAAATACTCTCTGTGAACTGATCTGTGAATTAATGCTTAGAAAGAAGCCTTCCTCTCAGGATGAAGTCTTCTTTTGAGAAGTCTGAAATCTGAACATTTGAAAGCCGCTTGATGACCCTAAGGACTTTCAACACATCCCTTAGAACGCAGGAAATGTGGGAATTTGGTCTGACCACTCCAGCTTTTAAAAGACGTGTCCAAGGCACAGTGAATTTCATAATCCTGTTATTCTACTAGATCTTCTGTCATGTCCCGAAGTGCCCCTCAAACTAGTTTTGTCTGCTCCAGTGGCATCACAGTGCTGAGTGATGCAGCTGGCAAGCCCAGGGGCTGTGAAGCAGGGAGCCAGAGCTCATGTTTATGTGGTCTAAAGGAGATAAAGTACAGCCAAGTGGGTAAAAACTCTGCAAACCAAACCTTTTTCTTCTAGAATAACCTCCTGGAGCTGCCTGTCATTGAAACCATCATTCCAATCTCCTCCAAGAGGATCTTGTCTCATGCACACTTCCCCACTATACATGGGAGTTTTATGCATGCAATCTGTTCCTGTTTTCTGAAAAAAGGGATTTGAGATTGTGAGTATTCATGTTTTTAGATCCTAAAAGCCAAGTGAGACATGCTTCTTTGCTGGACACTTGCATCCAGATATATGACAAAGGAATTGCCATTCTGCTAACTTGAAATTTGAGGTGGCCCAAAGTACAGTACCCAACTCAGAAACAGAGAGCTAATAACAGAGCTCTGATATATGAACCTTAACTTGCTTTTGTCTAAAGCTATCTTAAGATTTTTAGACCCAGTAACTGAAGTTATTGCTCATCACCTTCAGCTGAAACTCTTGGTGTCAACTACCAGACCTGAGCCAGAAATGGTAAAAAGAATGGCATGGTAAACCCCAAACCCAGCAGCAAATTAAAACCTGGAAAGCGAACAAACCCAACCAGCGAGGGCTCAGGCTCACCTTTCATTGTGACATTGACACCAGATGCAAGAAATAAACCTCCAAAGCGGTTGTTGAAAATCTGATTGCCTTCTAACGTTGCAGTTGCGTGATTTGTTATTTCAATACCTTTGTTGGGTCAGGGGAAGAGAAAAGAAGAAAGGGGGAAAGTTAAACCCTTCGTGATTGTGCATTTGTACCTCTTACCATGATCTGTACTTGGCTGGGGTTTTTTTAACCCTCATAAACTCAGGGGGAAAAAGGAAACTTACACAGCTGGAAATTACACTGTCATTTGCTATAAAACTGAGGTTCATATACTTCCACTACATCCATTACAGCTGGCCGTAACAATACATTATTACTTTATGTGATAATAAAACAGCATTGTGACTGTGTATTTTCAAGAGGGATATGATTTTTGGATGCTTAAAGCTGTCATCTTCATGTAGATCTGAAAGTTCTTGTGCACATACCTTACCCTTCTTAGAGTATCTTTGAAAAAAGAAAGTTCTTAAGATGGGTAACCTAAAATTCATTTCTTTAAATCTCAGCTTTTATCTGTAACCTGTGTCTTCCAAGTCATTTGTCCAGGACTGCTCTTGACAGCAACCTATCCTTCCCCCCCACCACACTGAAACAACACCTTTAGAGGCTCTTCTCAGAAAACTTCCTTCTTCTGAAAGAAAGATGGGAGAAAACTCAAGAATGCAAATTTAGTTGGAATGGAAAACGGATGGAACTGCAACCATTACACAGCAAACTGCACAAAAATCGCTACCAAACATTCCTCATCTCTTTTGGAGTGAGGAATGCTCATTTTATTCATTTTTCAACTTTGTGGAGTGAGAAAGTTGAACTCGAGATGTAAAATTCAGATCTCTTTAAAACATCTATTTGCTGTTTCCAACCTTTTAAAGCACTGATAAAATATTCAAACTGTCATCCAGCAGATCAGCTACTAATATGCTCTAGATAGCTTCCTCAATTACTTCTAAAGGAAAATAATGAAAAAAGTATTTCCCAGACAAATGAGAAGCAGAACATGTGCTGTTCCTCAACATCCAGGAATTCCAGAGGCTGCTGTAAAGATATTCTGGCTACAGTTCTGAAATGATTTCTAGAATACACAGAAGGATATCCCCAGTCTCTGATAAAATCCCTCAGTACCGTGGGGTAAACAATCTCGGTGTTAGCTTTGTGAGGAGCTTGCTTTTAAGCTCTAACACTTCAAGACTTGATCTGAACAACACAAACCTGCAGCAAATCCATCAAATATTCGGTTTTTCCTTAGTACAGGGTGGCTGTTGGTGCTGATAAGAACACCAGCTTGAGCATTCCTGAAGATATCGTTCTCTTCCAGGAGACCTGTGACAGACCAAACACCACACTGGAGCTTGTTAACATTTCCTTACCAGTCACCATCCTGTGAAGTACTTGCAAACCATCTCGTGTATCATCACCCTGCTAATACCTTTCATTTGGGGAATACCCACCGGCAGTGAAGCTAGCAAGACAAGTTTAAAGTGATCCTCAGTGCATAACCATGTATTTTTTCAGCATACAGATAGAATTTGGGATCATATGCACCATTACAGAAAACCCTGGTTTACTTTTGGGGAAAAACTAAGTCTTTACACTTCCCAAAGGTTTCTTCCATTTTTTTAACACCTTTCTGTTCTTGTCTTCTAGAAGGAGCAGCCTGCCAAAGCAAGGCTTAACCTGCATTTTTGTTACTGCAGGACAGGTTTACTTTAAAGTGCTTAACTTAAAACTAAAGCTCATTTACAGCAACTGATTGCCTACAAAACATCAGAATCTGGTATTGGGACACACAACAGTCAGCAGGGGATTTCAGAGGAGGACCACTTGTAAGTTTACAAATATACCTCCTGGGAGATGTGTTTTTACTTTTACACCATCACCACCACACCCCCCCCCCAGTAAACCTTTGATACTGGCTGAACCTGAACTGTTCAGATGCAGTATTTTGGCTGTATGGCTTGAATTAAATACTGTCTTTCAGTCAAATAGCAAAGCAAAAGCAGATGACATAAAAGGACTGCCCTAAGCAGCAATCCAACAGTCATCTTGGATGAGATTAATTACCTCTGCCTCCCACAGATTTCAGTATTAGTGGTAATTAAGGCTAAAAAGCACCCATATTATGTTCATTGTAACTATTTCATTACTTCAGAAGGTGAGAGATAGGTTTCTAAAGAGCACTTTCAAAAGGACACTGCTTAATCTGTAACTCTTATCCAGAATATTCAGTATATGCCACAGTAAGGGAAAAAACTACCTCTTCCCCCATTAAATATACAGATGCCTCCATCTCTTCCATCATGGATTTTATTTCTTCTTAGTGTAGGATTACTGTCTGTTTTAATCCATACACCAGCCATTGCATTATCAAAAATCTCATTGTCTTCTATAAATCCAAGCCCTAAAATTGAAGGAAGGGTGGAAAAAAAATAAAATCAAAAAGGATAATAAATGGGAAAAGGTAATATTGCAAAACATGAACAGTTCTGGATAAACGTGAAAAACAAACCTACCAGAATTATAGACAAGAATACCACCATTCTGACCACCCCAGATCTTGTTGCGTCTGATTTTGGGGTTGCTTCCAGTTCTAGAGAGCAAAAAGTCATGTAAAACAGGTTACTGTCTCCCAGTGTTTAGAACACCTCTAAAGAAGTGCCCCATAGATCTTGCTGCTTAAAAATCTTACTAAAATAGAGTTATTTCCAAGCAAGCAGATATATTTTAGCTTTACAGACTTCAAGGGCCACACATTCTATTCAACATCCTAGCTATTATAACAGCAGAACTGTTTTCTAAGCTGAAGCAGAGGGTATTCAGACATACTGGATTTCCAAAACAGTTATTTTTAGAAACAGGAGTGCAAGGACAGTTAAAAAGGCACAGAAGAGCACAAAACAAGCCACATCTGTTTTGATGTCAAACCAGAATACACTTTACCTTATCTGGACCCCTGAGTACATGTGGTTATAGATGTCATTGTCTTCTAAAACGCCGTGTCCATTGTCATAAAAATAAACTCCAACCTAGTACATCGAGAATTAAATTATTAATCCCAAAGTATGAAGTATGAAAACACAAAAGAACTTTATCCTCAGTGGTCCCTTTGTAGCCACAGAGCAACACTCACTTGTTTCCCACTGTGTATTCTGTTTCTCCTCAAGACTGGAGTGCTCCCTGTTGTCACCCAGACTCCAGCCAAAGTATTGCTGTAAACTTCGTTTTCCTCAATCACACCTTGTCCTTTTTCATGCTGAACACAAGACAGTTTCAGAGTTGAGATAATCTGCCAACAGCCAATACTGTTTTCCTGGCTGTACCCATCCCTCCCCAGTATGTCTTCTTTACCATAGAAAAGTAATTCTTTTTTGAGTATTATTTTTTAGTAACAGCATGTCATGATGCTGAATGTTTGCCATGAAACAAAGACCACTCTGCATGTAAATCATTGTATCTTGGCCTTGCTCAGCCTGGCAAACAAAAGGCTCCAGGGAGACCTTGTAACATTCTTCCAGTACCTAACAGGGGCCTACATGAAATCTGGAGAGGGGCTTTTGACAAGGGCCTGCAGGGACAGGACCAGGGGGAATGGCTTTAACCTGGCAGAGGGGAGATTGGGATGAGACATCAGGAAGAAATTCTTCCCTGTGAGGGTGCTGAGGCCCTGACACAGGGTGCCCAGAGAAGCTGTGGCTGCCCCATCCCTGGCAGTGTTCAAGGCCAGGTTGGATGGGGCTTGGAGCAACCTGGTCTACTGGAAGGTGTCCCTGCCTGTGGCAGGGGTTGGAACTGGATGAGAGCTTTAATGTCCGTTCCAACCCAACCCATTCAGTGATTCAATGATCTCAAGGCTCTGCAGTAATCTTTGCAAACCTCTGCAAGCTGCTGGTAGAAAAAGCACCACCCCAGTGCCATATCTGATGAAAGCTATGGCACCCAGCACATAAACCTACAACCAGCCCTATCCACCAGGCCAACAAAAAATTGACATGTCTCTCAAGGTAACTATCTTTACCATGTGCTGTGCCTAGAAGTAAAGCAGCGTATTCATGGTCAGGGTAATCTGTTCTGGTTAGATTTACAGAACGAACAGGTGAAGCTGCACACTTGAATCATCAGCTGAATCACAGGTAACTTTTGGTAGAAAGATGGGCAAATTCTCTCTCAAAGTCTGATATTGCTTAGGGGAACCTGACAGCTCTTTCAGTTCAGTTAGCAGAGTCCTTGCACACGCTGGGAACTGCACTTGATTCCTCCTTTTTACAATACAGGACCATACAGCAGTTGCAATGTATAGCATCCTGAAGGCAAACCCCAAGTATTTTCTGAGGATAGTGATAAGCACGTTAAAACTCCAAAAGAGCTAAACAGATGTCTATTTTCTTAAATAATGACAATCTGCTATGAACACTAAGCCTTTAAAAAGCTTTTAACCAAGAAATGGTGAAATTCTGTCATCATCCAATTTTACACATTTTACTCTGTAATAATTTAGTGACATCCTTTTAAATGTCAGCACCACCTTCAGTCTATTAGAATTAACCTAGTTTATAACGTAAGAACTTTAGTCATTGTAAATACAATCAAACATTTATAGAGCACCCTTTCCCAACCTTGATAGGAAGAGGAAACAAAGTTGTATGCCTGCTTGTAGGTAATACTCACTACATAAATTCCACCATGCTGACCATCATGAATTTTGTTGTGTCGAACTATGGGACAGCTGTTTGTTCGAATCTGTATTCCTGCTAATGCATTACCTGTTAACAAAAAGATGTTATTTCAGACAACTTATGCACTGGTTTGGCTCAGAATTCAAGAGGCAATAAGCAAATCATCTTACCATAAATGTCATTTCCTTCAATAAGGCCTCTTCCATCACCAAAGATATAAACACCACCTTGATTCCCATTAAAAATTGCATTGCCCCTACGAAACAGAAGTATCCACATTATGAAATTATTATAATACAGTGTACACAGGTATGTAGTGCCTAGGACCATACAACAGTCAGATCTAAAAAAGAAAATTTATGGTCTGTTGCTTTGAGAACTACATACTTCCAAGTATACATGCAAATTAAAAATGCAGTTCAACCAAACACAAGACAGCAATTTTACTTTCATACATATACAAAAGTACTTTCACTTCATTATAAATCGAATTATAGAGTGGTCTGGGTTGGAAAGGACCTTAAGCTCATCCAGTTCCAACCGCCTGCCACAGGCAGGGACACCTCACACTGGACCAGGTTGCTCCAAGCCCCATCCAGTGTGGCCTTGAACACTGCCAGCGATGGGGCAGCCACAGCTTCTTTGGGCAACCTTTGCCAGGGCCACACCAATCTCAGGTAAAGAACTTCTTCCTTATATATAACCTAAGTCTTCTCTTTTAAAGTCTGAACCCAATAATAAATGAAATAACACATAAATGACATAAAATTGCTCTTCTCCCATCCCCATCTAATCTCTTCTTCCAAGTAACAAAACATCAATGAGGAAAAAAAATTACCTTATTGTTGGGTCACTGTTTGAGGTAATCCAAACACCTGCAAAGTTGTTTGCATAGATTTTGTTCTCAATGAATTGTCCTCTTCCTTTTTCATGAACATAGATTCCTCCAGTCTGGCCGTGATGTATTTCACACCGAACTACTGTAGGGTTGGCATACGCTTTCACTTCAAAACCTGCTATCCTGTTTCTGTGTATGTTGCAGCTTTCAAAATAACCCTTAAAACACACACACAAAAAAATGCAGTTTCCTTTAAAAGTCCTTGTTAAAATTAAGGCTATTCCTTACCCTCCCTCCCCTCTAAATACAATCCTCATTTAAAAGAAAAGTGCCAAAACTGACAATACGTAAATACTTACATAGCTAGTTACTTTTTTCCCCCTCTAAAAAAAGGTAAGTGTTTCAAAGACACTGTGTTTGCATTGCTATTTATTACTATCTATGGAATACCAAGAAAAAAATGGCAACTCTGGATATGCCACCTCAAAGAGGACTGAATGTCAGGTTTCCTTAGCAGCTCCTAAGGATCAGACTCCTTTCAAAGCCCATAAAGCCCACAGGCTTTATATGAAAAGGACACTGCTATGGGAAGACTACCTACTTATTTTCAAACTCAGAACCACATATATTTGGTAAGAATATGATTGATTTAGTAAAAAAGTCTTCTAAATTTCTTTGAAATAACTGGTCAGAATAAATACATGTGGATGTGGGAGTAGTTTTTCCAGGGCTGGACTGGTCTGAACAACCAACTGGTAAAGTTTCCCCCCAGCTCACCCTTTTCAAAAGGGTGCACACTTCCATTTAGACACTGCATTAGTAATAGCAGGCCTACACCAACACTGTATTTGAACAAAGGGTTTACAAAAACCCTATAGCTATGAAGAAAAAAGACAAGAAGATGTCCCACAAAGCCATCCTGGCCATGCTCCTTCTGCCATGCCAACAAGCGTTCGCGTAGCAGCATCAAGAACTGGTCCATCTGAAAATTCATCTGGCAAATGGCAGACCATTTTTCTGACACAGTTTTGGAACACTTTCATACTAAAATTCAACCTATTCTTTGAGGTGAACTTTAATGGGATTATATGCCCATTTTTCCCAACTGAAAGAAGAGAAACGGAACAACTGAAAAAGAAGAAGCATCTCTTATTGGAGATGGTGTGGACAATCACTAAGCAATGTGTTTTAATTTGTGCATGGCTTGGATGCAAGTTCTGGAAAGCTCTAACCCAGACCATCTCCAGCAGGCAGCTGTGGAGAGCAAGACCAAAAGCAGCACATGTGACATTTAGAGCACTATTCTGCTGCTGACAACCAACAAAACTACACTGTTCCTTACATCCAAGAACATACAGCTGGAAACCAACATGAATCAATCTTACTTTTTCCTTTTCTCCAAGATGGCTTTGTAGAGCAGAGAGAGATAGACATCTATAGTATAAACTATCTGTATGATTCCAGCCACAGTTTTAGCATTATCAGTCCTCATGATGCAAAAGATTAGATGTTTACTGAACTGGTAATGTGTATAGGTAAAACATCTGACTGAAAAGGAAAGGGGCCCAACTTCCATTGGTCTTTTACAACCTCATAGGCATCTTGCCTGAATACTGTTTCTCCTGTAGCCACTTCAGTTGGTTACTTAGTCTTGCTAATTGTGAGGTTTGTTTTACTTACAAACTACAAGAAAAGCACAATTCCTCCTACTGCTCAGTGTACTGGATTCCAGCGTTTGTACTCACATGACCTACAACCAAAAGCACCTCAGTCCTGGAGTTTCTACTACCTACCACCCAGGAATTACTCAAGTTACTGCCAGTCTAGGGAGAAAGCACTCTTACTTATGTGCTGTGGGGCAGTATTGCTAAGGGATTTCATCAAACGTATCTGGATTACAAACAAGCAGATATACATACATAAAGTTCAATGAGGAAATCAAGGCAGCAGGCACTTCTTCCTGCTTTGAGGACTGCAGCCAGGGAAGACAGTGCATTGATTAAACATGCTCCAAAAAACATACTATCAGTGTGCACAGCTTTGCTCCCCAGGCCCCTCTGGGAGACAAATAAAACAAAATGGAAAGGAAACAATCTACTTTCTGTAAATATCCAGGAAGTATTTTCTTCAAGGATTTAGGATTAGATTTCTTCAGAGTGAGTCAAGATGTTTTCAGAGAGACAGGGGAATCTAAAGGAGATCTCAGAAACACACCTTCCTGTCAACAGGCAGCCTTTGGGACTTCTTATCCCAAAAGGAACCGCTTCCTTGTCCTCATTTTCACTTAAAATGAAGCCTTCAGAGAAACTTAAGTAATACGACTATTCGGTATAGAGCTTAATCCTCTTAATGGAATATATCATTTCAATTAAAGTATTACTATACTTGGTTTAGTATCTTTTTAATTACTTCACATATCATCTTCCCCTTGAGTGCCAAGTATGTTGCGACTACAGCAACATGATGAAGGAGAAGAGGTATTTCAGATGTGCTTCACCACAGCCGTTTCAGATTCCACGTCAAGTTGCAAACCAGCAGAGATTTTATCATGTGGTCAGCAACATCTCTGCAAGCTTCAGCAAGCACTGTTATTTAACAGGAAGAAGACATGCAAGAAATCCTTTTAACTCTTGAAAACAATACATACACTGTGTAACCTTTAAACTTGCTTGGAAATGAAGTAGAAGAGAAAGAAGGCTCCTTTGCTTCTGTCCCAGTGTATCTACATAATACTCAACCTCAGAGAGGAACAGAAGTACCTGTACATGAACTGTACTCTGCCACTAAGGCCCAGAATACCGTAACATCACCTGACAGCACAGTACAAGTTTAATTTCATCAGAAAATAGAAAACGGAGCCTTCAAAGTTATTGCTTTCCACCTTCCTAAAAAAGTAGGACTGCTGATTGAGTAGAAACAGAATTTGCTGTAAGCTTCTGTGAAGGAAATGCTCCTCAAAAGTTTAGCAGAACTAAAAAATATAAATCTATATCTCAGATTTCCCAATAAGACTGAATGCTGGGTCAGAAAGTCAAGGCTTTCTGAGAGGTAAAATGCTGTAACATTCAATATTAATGAGGAGAAACTGCATTAAAAAGCCTAGTCCACCTCATGCAGGGTCAGCTTAAGCTGAACTGCTGACCTTGAGCCGATTCAGTTAAAACCACTGTAATTCTGCAGTTGTTGAGACCATGTCTGAACACTATCTGCAGGTGTAATTCATAGAATCCTGGAATGGTTTGGGTTGGAAGGGACCTTAAAGCTCATCCAGTCCCAACCCCCTGCCATGGGCAAGGACACCTTCCACTAGACCAGGTTGCTCCAAGCCCCATCCAACCTGGCCTTGAACACTGCCAGGGATGGGGAAGCCACAGCTTCTCTGGGCTCTCTGTGACAGCAGCTCAGCACCCTCATAAGGAAGAATTTCTGCCTAATGTTTCACCTCAATCTTCTCTCTGGCAGCTTAAAGCCATTCCCCCTTGTCCTGTCACTACATGTTTTTGTAAAATGTCCCTCTCCAGATTTCTTGTCAGCCCCTTTAGGCACTGGAAGCTGCTCTAAGGTCTCCCTGGAGCCTTCTCTTCTCCAGGCTGAACAAGTGTAATGCCTCTCAGCTTTAAACTGTAAAACTATGCTTACTCTTACAATAAACTGGAACTCCTCTGCTGCTTGCATACAACCACTAAATACAATTTATGACAAATGCTTCTAACTTGTCTTAGGCAACTGGCACGAGAGGTCAGTGCAGGGCACTGAGGGCTGCCAATGCAGTGTTGATGCCTGCTTGCTAAATGTTTGGCACAAGCACAAAGGCAAACGTCAGAAGATTGCCAGTTTAGAAATAAGAGGTGAAGTTTCTACAAGTATCCAAACACAAAGAATAGTCTGAGAGCATGAAACTGAAAAACAAAGCACTCCTGAACCTTTCAAAGGCAGCACTCCAGCACAAAAACCCACGGGAAAAGAACGTGTAGGCCAGGAATTTGGCACTGGAATGTACTTATCCCACTTCACAGTCACAAGCAACGGGGGAAAAAAAGCCACCCTCAAAAATAACAGAAGGGAAGTGAGAGAAGTGAACACAGAAAATTCATGATTTTGTTTAGATAAGTAGCATTTGTATCTGAAGGATACCATGTCACTCAAGAGGGTGTAAATACTGCCAATGATGCCATCTCATCAACTTCATCACTAGTGTGATGCAGAACAGAGGACACTGCCAAAAGAAGATTTTGAGATGGAAGGGGAGGGGGGAATCTTTCAAAGGACTTTATGACTAAGAAAGGTTTCATTAATTTTTGCAGCTGAGACATATTACTCACATGTTCTCTTTAATGTGTTAGTGTTTCCTTTAAACAAAAAGGAAACATTTATTTCTATTTCATTTTGCTTGTGCTATCACACTGCTCACAGCATTGGAACAGGCATTCCACTGGTAAGAAAACAGTTCAAATACACTCGTATTTAAAATTAATCAAGTGAATTCAGTCTGGCTTTTTAATTTTTTAATATTTCAATACTCACACATTTAATATTTATACTTCAGTGCTTACACCAAGAAGCAGCTCCTAGCCAGACTTTCCAATTAACCCTCAAGCATACAGACATCTTCCCTCCAGGAGTTACTGAAGCACGCTCCTTTACCAGTTGTCTGTAGCTTAAATAACTTCATCAATGTTTTGAGCCTGTGTAAGCCTTGGAGGGGTGCAGGGATCTATGTATCCACTGAAGCTGATTAGGAGGGCTGATACAATATAGCTTAAATGAGGCAGTGGCAGTGTCCAGACAATGAGATAATGTAAAACAAAGACATAACATCTTATGTTGACACTACTCTTTGCAAAATAGCCAAACAACATCTACAGTAGTAGGGACAAAAGCCTCACTAGATTTTATCCACAGTGGATTTTCTCTTTCTAGCCTGCCAACACTCATCAGGAACCCAACCAGGTCTGGGTTAGAACTAAAGCAATAGAACAAGTACTTACAAGGGAAGGAAGACACCAAAGGGAAAAAAAAGATCCACAATTTAGTGCACCTAAAATCACCCAGTCAGGGCTAAAAATGTTGATCTTTAAAAACCAGCTGCTTCTCTTCTTCCTCTTCCCTGAAAGCTTTGCTATGTTATATATTAGCTATAATTGCATTAATCATTCATCAAAATTATGGAAATTTATTTCCCCAAAGGAATGTCTTATTACGAGAAATTATTATTCTATTCAACAGGCATCTGAGACTTAATCAACAGTCCCCCAACACATAACACACTGTAGAAAACCCTGATGTAGAAGTTCAGTAGGAAAGCTAAAGCAATTTAGTACCTGAATTAATAAACATTTTATTTAGGAATAACATTACTTCAAAATGGTGAGCTACAGTTTCCTCGGAGCAAACATCGGATGACTAAGTTTGAAATTAATGTTTGCTGTCGTTAGATCTCTGAACAAGCTGGTTTTGGGGGGGGGTAAGGGGTGGTGACAGCAAGATGGAATACATGAGGGATACATAAGGAACAGTGATTCCAAAGGTCAGATGATAAAAAGTGAGAAAACTGAAATGAGAGAACAGAAGTCCAGTCTACACCCAAGCTACGCCTGCAGAAGTGTGACTTGGGACTCATCTTTCTCAGCTAGTCTAAGCCATTATTGGCTAATGCTTGCATTTTTACAAGTATTACTTATCTTTCTCAGGGAATAAGTACAATCTACCAGCAAAACTACTTAGATGATAGAAGACATTTACTCACAAAGAACATCTGTGGATATAACATTAGCATAGGTCTAAGTATGGTGGTCTTGCCAAAGAACAGGCCTAGCATGTATTTAGCCATAGCTAGACCAGAAGTGTCAGGAAGTAAGGCTAGGACCAAAATGCAGGGAGGGGAATATGCTCCCAGAGTACATGAAACATGCAATGGTTTGGTTGACCTCATTCTTAGCAGTGTTTTGAGATCAAGTCTGTTACACTGAGTTTTTCATTACAGCGGCAGCACAGCACCAAAGAGGTTCCTATTTACCTACAGCACCTTTAGAAGTAAAACCTCCAAAGCAGCTAACAATACAGTTTGTTATTCCCTATCACCAAAGTCATAGGCAATCCATGTCCTGCAGTATCCAACAACTTTCGCAAGATAATCAAATTCTGCAGTATCAGTCCAACCCTCCCCCCTACAATGAGCAGGGACATCTTCAACTAGGTCAGATTGCCCAGAGCCCCATGCAACTTGACCCTGAATGTTTCCAGAGGTGGGGCACCACCTCTCTGGGAAACCTGTTCCAATGTTTCACCACTCTCATCATAAAAAATTTCTCCCTTATATACAGTCTCAATTTCCCCTCTTTTAGTTTAAAGACATCCTCCCTTGTCCTAGCACAAAAGACCCTTGCTGTGGTTTGTCCCCATCTTTTTATAAGCCTATTTTAAGTATTAAAAGGCTGCAATAAGGTTTCCCTGGACCTTCTCCAGGCTGAAAAAGCCCAGCTTTCTCAGCCTTTCCTCACAGGAGAGGTGTTCCAGCCCTCTAACTTTGCAGACTCCTCTGGATCTGCTCCAACAGGTGCATTTCTTTCCTATCCTGAGGACTCGAGAGCTGGATGCAACACTGCAGGTGAGTTCTCATGAGACCTGGAGGGCAGAATCACCTCCTGCTGGCCACACTTCTTTTGATGTGGCCCGGCATACGTTTCTGGACTGAAAGCACACACTGCTGGGTCATGTCGAGCCCTTCATCCGCTAGTAACCCCAAATCCGTCTCCTCAGGGCTTCTCTCAAGCCCTCCATCCCCCAGCCTGTACTGATACCAGGGGTTGTTCCGACCCAGGTACAGGACCTTTCTCTTGGCCTTGTTAAAATTCACATGGGCCCGCTTCTCAACCTTGTCCAGCTCCCTCTGGATAGCGTCCCATCCCTTAGGTGCATCAACTGCACCACTCGGCTTGGTGTCATCTCAAGCTTGCTGAGGGTGCACTCGATTCCACCATGTCATTGGTGAAGATATTAAACAGTACTTGCTCCAATGCAGACCCCTGAAGGATACCACTTGTCACTAATTCTCCATCTAGATGTCAAGCCATTAACCTGTGCCCTCTGGATGCAACTATCCAACCAATTCCTCATCCACCAAACAACCCTCCCACCAGAGTGGAGATGAGGACGTCTTATGGTAGACAATGTTGTGGATGATGTGTAGCTCTTCCCTTGTCCACTGATGTAGTCACTCCACCATAGAAGGCCACTAGGCTGGTCAGGCAGGACCTGGACCTGCCCTTAGTGAAGCCATGCTGGCTGTCTTGAATCACTCTTCTATCCTCCATATGCCTTAGTGTAACTTCTAGGAGGATCTGTTCCATCATCTTCCCAGGCACAGAGGTGAGGCTGGCAGTTCCCAGGCTCCTCTTTCTAGCCTTTTTAAAAATGGGTGCAATGTTTCCCCTTTTCCAGTCACAGGGAATTCACCTGACTGCAAGGGCTTCTCAAATATCATGGAGAGTGGCTTGGCAACTACACCAGCATATTCTCCCAGGACTCTGGGATGCATCTCATCAGGTCCCATAGACTTACATATGTTCCAGTTCCTCAGATGATCACAAACCTTGTTTTCTTTTACAGTGGGAGGGACTTTGCTCCCCAGTCCATCCACTTGAGAGGTGCGGGAAGAGAGGATGCCAGTGAAGACTGAGGTAAATAGTTGAGTACCTCAGCCTTCTCCTTCCTTGTCTGTTGTTACCAGTTTGACAGTCCTGCTTATTGAGGGGATACACTTTCTTTGACCTTCCTTTACTGGCAGACGTACCTGTAGAAGCCAATCTTATTCTCTGCATCCCTTGCCAAGCTCAGCTCCATCTGTGCCTTGGACTTCCTGAGTCCATCCCTGAGGTCAACTGGGCAGAGTCCCTGTACTCTTCCCAGGATACTGGTCCTTGCTTCCACTGCCCGTACATTTCCTTCTTGCCTTTATTTTGACCAGCAGGTCTTGACTCAGACATGCCAGTCTCTCACCTTCCTTTCATGATTTCTTAGACCTGAGAACCAAGAGCTGTTGTACTCTATGGAAAGCATCCTTAAAGATCTGCCATATTAACAGTGACTAGAAGAAAACCACTAATTTTTGCCAGCTGGGTGGAGGGAGCTGGGACTTTGTCATTCAAGCAGGAAAAACAATGATTTGGCACTGTCAGATGACATGCACAATATTACCCTAAAATATATCAGCAAATAAAAGCACAGAATCATAGAATGGTTTGGGTTGGAAGGGACCTTAAAGATCATACAGTTCCAATCTGCTGCCACAGGCAGGGACATCTTCCACTAGACCGGGTAGCAACCCTGTCCTTCAAGCCCTGTCCAACCTGGCCTTGACCAATTTCAGGGAATAATAATAATAATAACAATAATTTCAGTGGCAAAAAAACTTTGTTTATTTCAAGGGCTATGCAAAGTCATTACTTGCTACTTTATTGGTACACGGAACTTATCGCCTTCATCCCACAGGAAAAAAAAAACAAAACCCAAAACATTTTTTATGGAAGAAGGCCTGAATTCTGCAAGGAAATTCCATGTTAAAATTCCAGTATAACTCCATGCTAGACAAGTCTTCTTCCCAAAGAAGCTGGACATACCCTGTTTGAGATTTAATGTGAAAATAAGACTAAGACTCCACAGAGCATTTTAGTTCATTTTTAAATCCAGCACCTTATTTTTCATTCTGTTTCAAAGAAAAAGGAATGCAGTGATAGTGTAAATGTAAGCCCACCATTTACATCCTATTTCAAGAGGTATTTTGTCACTGTAACATAATTTGATGTAACAGGCTGCCAATCAGCTGCAAAACCCTTTCTTAAACCTCTTTCAGCTAATAATGTCTTTAAAGTGGAGTTATCCACTGAAGGGTAAGAGAACAGTAGGCATATTTTAAAAAACCTGTCACATGTAAAAGCATCTTTTTTGAAACTTTCTTCAATGACAGGGAAAATCAGCTATGCAGCATCTATATTTCTTTCTTCAAAGGAAAACAGGTACGTTACCATGCCATGGTCAAAAGTGAAAACGCCAACATCACGTCCATGGTGAATGTGATTCCGTCTGATAATGGGATTTCCATGGTTTTTAACCCAAATCCCTGCTAATGCGTTATTGGAGATCTCATTGTCCTCATATATTCCCTAGGAAATAAAGATGGAAATTAAAACAGGAATCAAGGCCAGTAGCAAACAATTTTATCAGAGTAAAGAAACTGATACTGAAAAATACCTGCGCATGGTCTGTAATGTAAAGTCCAACATTTTCACAGTCGCTGATGTTACAGTGTTTAATAGTAGGACAAGCTCCTTGGCCACTAACACATACTGCAGAGCCAACTGGAAGAAAACAGCACAGTTACCATAGCTTCAAAGCAGAGTGTATTTATAAATAGTCTGGCAGTGCTTTTGCAAGAAAAGTTAGTGTGAACTGGTATTTCAAAAGGACTCGGCGTGCACAGCGCCAAAGCACTGCAAACCACAGGCAGAAAACACATGTCATCATCTTGCAGAGGCAGAAACCGAGGTAGGAACTGGTTTAAAATCCCTCTGCAAGGGGCACCTGCATATGACTGCCAGAATAGACAACAGTTTATATATTGATTCATGCTTATGACAGTTGTCACTCACTTATTTCTCTGTGTTAGTCTGACTGTATACTGACTGGTCACACCAAAGGACAACAGAAACACAATAAAATTCTGTATTTACTGCCTTACTTTACTTCCCTTCAAATTTTCCTAACCCCGTAATTCCAAGGGCCCAAACAGATAGTATTTCTGTAGCATACAAAGACACACTGTCTATCTAAAGATGAGCAGGATACAAACAACACAATCACGAGTACAAAACTACATACGCATCAGAAACCAACAGGTCTCTTGCCAGCTGAATTACAAAGCTCCTTGGATCATTTTAGCTACCATACCATCACCCAGAAAATAAACCCTTTGTATGCATCAAGGACTCGAACTGCTTAAGGCTTCATCAGGTCAGCTCAATTCCCTGAACTCCATCAAATAAGAAAACATTAAATTCTACAGCCGCTAAAAACAAATTGTGGATTCATGGTGATTTCAGAAAGGTCAGAGCTCATCCTGGTTTATCTGGCCTACTTAACACACACCTTATCCACAATTAAACATTACTACATAAGCAAGCCAGTACATGCTCTATTAGTCAGTTTTCATATTACCTTCTAGCACAGAACCACAAAGACTGTGCTTTAATAATTCATAGACTCATTTACAGAGGGTTTTTTTTTAATCCTAAAGAAATTATTTTGATTGTCAAGTCTGACCTTATGAATAATACAATCTATAATGATTCCCTGAATTAATTCCTATTTCAATTCTAGTAACAGGAACTTCAGTGTGTATCTTTTAGAAACACATTTAATTTTGATTTGAGCATTTCCAACAACTGAGAAACCACCATAAAGCTTAATAGCTGGTGACAGGGTTGCTATCCTGTTAATGTCCTTTTTAATTGCTTATCTGAATTCCTCTAGCTTTAGTACCCGGCTCCTGGTTCTCTTTATACTCGTGTACGCCATGCCCAATGCATGTACGTATTTAGTGCAAGCAATTTAGTCCTTCAGCCTTCTCCTTGATGCAAGTCACAAATTGCAGTCAGTATGTTTTTCATGACAAACGCATTTTTCTGCTTTAAGGACTTTTCATGGAACTGTTTCTAAATTTTCCACATGTTGCTATGGACACAAGGGAAGAGCACTTTACTCTGAAGCAGGACTAAGCAGAGGCGTAATTCGGTCTCTCTACTTCTGCTCAGTATTCCCACTGGTGCAACTAAGATTCACATCACTTCTTTTAGCCAATTAACTACAGGAGGGCTCATATTTAGATCTTTACCCACAACTCTTTAAGCTTTTCCCAAGATTCTCCAGCTTTGCAGGAGAGATTTATCCTTCAAAACTAGGAATAAAATCAAGTTGTGCATATAACGGCCTTCACACTTATTCACAGTAACGTGAATATTGTTTGAGAGGATACCTTCCAAAAAGGCAGCAACACATACTCCTGGTTATTTAGATACCCTCAGCCATAAGTCTTCATTGTCTACAAGCCTCATCAATATGCATTTTATTTCTTCTCTGGAAGCCACTGATAAATGGCTTAAAGTCAAGAAGCCACCTTTGAAACAGCCACAAAAAAAGCCATTTAAATTTACCCTGAAAGTATTTTTCATCTATTTAATCTGGTAATTCTGTGAATCTCTAATCTCTTAAAGCACAATACACCGCAGTCAAGTATTTTTCAAGGATGTATGCAATCATACCAGGACTGCTACCTTCTTTTAGTCAAAGTCAGTCATCAAAACTGCTGATTGTGTGATGTAACCATTATAACTTGATGTAAATACACGAGTTTTTTTCAGTTCTAAATTTTACTACCTCTTTATCCTACACAGGAGCAGTAAGCAGAACTACCTGCCATACTTCATCCCTCTTAATCTCCCCCGTGCCACTGTTCTCCACCTTAGGACATACACCATCTCACCCGGGTTTCAAGTTACTGTTGATACGTAATAGGAGCCCAGAAGATTTCTTGGCCAGTTCTTTCTAAACTCCTGCATCATTTTAGAATGTCTTTTTTTACAGCTGTTTAACCTCAGCCACGGTTACTGTCAAGAGTGGAACATATTTCATTATCCCTCTAGGGTATGAACACATTTATCATTCCTGCCTATTCTCATTAAATATGGAACAAAAGTTACACAATACTTTGCCATTCAAATTCTTCTGTTCTTTGATGGATTAGCATCCCTGCTCTCACTCGCTTTGTTTCCCAAGTTAAGACACAAGCAGTTTCTTCTAGACAGACGTTAGATCTTGTCTTGTTTATCAAGTTCTCCTGAGGGGGTAGGAAGAGTACTTTGTTGGAGTGTGCGTAGCAGGGGGTGTATGTGTGTTGGTGGTGTCCCACACTTTCCTGGTGTGGTGTGCTGACATCACTCCTCCCTCACATTTTGCTTATTTAAATGAAAGCAATCTGTATTCTGACTCACTTCAACTGGTCTTTATTACTGATCATGTGAAACTGGTCCTTTTAGAATACCAAGCACATGTATTACTGGTTTAAGCTTTATTTTGTTTACTTAGAATATAATGATTGCACACACTTAAGCAATACTTAGGAAAGAAAAAAAGGCGCATTGCCATCCACTACTACTTTTATCTGTCAAGGTGAGGACTAATACAGATTTCTTCTCCAGTAGAAGCAACAGAACCTCTAGACTCAGTATCTTCCACTTAAACTATGCATTTAAAACTTTATTCAGTAGTATTTCAAAGATGTTTTGGACTGGCAAGGCACTGGTACTTACATAGCTCAAATCTTCCCGTATTACATATATCAATGTAAAAATGTGCTTTAATGCAATTTGCAGGTCTACAGGAAGGGTATCAAGCATGTGCTAGAAAATTGTGAATGCTTATGGATCAATACTTCAGAGATGGCATTGGAAACAGCCTTTCTGGCAGGCTGCCATTCTTCTTCCCTTTTTACACGCACCCAGTACTTCCTGAGTAGGTTAGAGCAAGGCTTGGTAGGATTAAAAAAGTCAATGTAAATTAATAATCAATATGTGATGATAGTACAGCCTACACACAGCCTCCAAACTGGACCAGAAATTTTAATTTTGGAGAAGAAGAGCAATAATTCAATGCAGCAAACATTCAGAAATCCAGAGTACTTAAGAGGGCAAAAATCCAAAATTCTCAGAAACAGTCTTCCATAAGGAAGTGGGCATGAAAAAATTAATCAAAGCTTAATTTTGATAAACAATTTTTACAAAAACATCAGGACCTGCTAGCTTGTCTATAAGCACATGTTTCAATATGAAGCCATGCAGCTCTTCAAACTCCTTTTATAATGAAGCTGAATGTGATCCAAGAAACGAGTTTAATTCTTCTCATTTGTTATCAGGGTCTCCAGTATTGATACATAGGAACCAATAGTATGCATTTCCTTGTATACTTCAATTTCCCAGTATTTAGAATTAAATAAAGAACTCAAGATACTGAGAGCAGCTAGCTGTCCTTTGTTCCTCTTTTTTTAGCACTTTTGCATATTAGCTGTTATGCCTCCAATAGAACAGATGGCAATTCGAAGCACAGAGCTGCCTTGACCGAAAGTGTAGTTGATAGCCTGAAACCTCCAAGAAAGAGCACATCTCCCTCTGCAAGGCACAGATGAGACGTCCTTCCACCATTCTTTTTACAGTTCCCTGCAGAATTCCCCCCTCCAAAGTTCATACCAGAGAAGTGTAGGGTTTGTTATCTCAGTGATGATCTCCTTTGTTGTCTTCCCTCTATGTTGAGCTATGTTAACCTTTACACACAGCCTGCTATGTTGATCCACTCCATTTCACTAGCTGAACTTGGGTATATAAAGTTCATATTGCCATTTCCATGCAAAGAGACAGTACTTTAATTCTCCCATACCTCCATTTCATCTGGTTGTGTTCAAATCCATTAAACTTGCCATGTTGTGCATGCAGTGACTGTCAATTCCCATGTCCTCCTGCCAAATGACTGAAATGCCACCCAGCCCCTTACTTCCACTGTCTCTAACCCTTTCTTTCCTGAATCTGGACTACCAATGTTTTCCTAATCAGGCGGTATAAATTCTTTATTATCTCAGATGGTGAAACGAGTCTAACTTTCCACACTGCATTTCTTCTGCCTGTATAGAAACTCGTATGTTGAGTATGTTGAATCATTCCACTCTTGACAGGAAAGTGAACTTAGCAGTTACAGCTCATGACTGTTTCATGCCATCAAACCGAATAGCGCATATTACAATGAACCTAATGTGAAAGCCCCATGTGCGTCCCCTTCAAGTGCTCTCTCCTGGCAGCTACAACTGTATTTATGTCAGAACCAGGTAAGTTTATATGAACTGTCACTTTTCAGGTTTTAAACTAACTGCCCAGAGCCCGAACTCATTGAAAAAAAAGACCAAGTATAGATTATCACAAAGGTCTTAGATGCAAAGCAGTCACTGTAATAACACCATTTCCACACAAAAACTGCTTGCAGACCTGTATTAAACACCTGCATCAAAAAATGAACTGTTGCAAGAATGATCACAATCGATTTGTGTGCTGCTGCCCTGGTTAGTCTGGGAACTTGAAACACAGTGTTAATAACAAACAATAAAAAGCCCACTAACCCGTACAAGTACTTCGAATAATACAGTGATCTATAATTGGGCTGCAGTTCACGGTGATCTCTAAGCAGTGGTGTGCATTGTGATGCTGAGCAGATTTGTCATCAGGGTTGAACTGAAAAAGGAAGACAACACAACAATGTACCATTTATTTAACTGCACAGGCATGAAAATGAGATGATTGAGAGCTCTGCTGAAGTTTGGGATTCTTACCCTGATTGTCATATATCCAACATAGGCATCTTCAGAACCCTCCATAAAAACGAAGGTGGAATCTCTAGTGTTTTCTATTATAACTTTATCTGCTACTTTTCCAGGCGCTGTAAAGACAACATTTATTAAGTCTCAGTTTATGCCACTGAAAAGAAATCCTTAAGAGTTACAGATTCTGTCCACAACAACAAAGGAAAAAAACAGTATTCCTGGCACATAAATAGTCTTCTTGTCAGAAAAACCTTAAAACAAAGTTTCGAAGACAATGAAGAAACTAGTCTAAGACAATCCTGCACCAATTTAGTACCTAGTACCAGGAGAAAAACCTCTTGTACAGAGCTAGTTTTGGCTACTCTTTATCACAAACTGAATTACCAATTTAAACATGGATACCAGCCTAGAGGCACTGTAATTCTGCTACTAAGTTCAATTTATTTTGGTACTCTACACCCTTTAATAAAAGCTAAATACATACATTCCAAAACTAATTTGAAGCAATTTAAAGAACTACTTAGGAATCTGCCCATGACCTACAACTGACCTCCCCATCCTCCTCAAATGTAAGATTCGGAGTTTTGAATTGATATCCTCATTCTTTAGAAGGAAAATCTTACAAAATTAGATTGAACTATACTTTTGAATGTACAGAAGGTTTCCAAGTGGTCTCTCTGCAAGTTCCCATGATCTGCAATTTGATTTCCTGTATTAATAGCAGGCTTTGCTCTATTCTTTATCTTTAATCCAAAGGAAGGAAACGTTGACATTGGTATGCAACAGCCAGAAGAGGGAGCACAAGGTAACGGTCTCACATCAGTATAAATTCAACAATACTCATTCACAAGCAAGGTAGTTTAAAACTGCACATTAAATATGCAAGCCAGAAGAAGCCTTCCTCAATATGTGAAATGTAAAAATATTATAGCAGATAAATTACCTGATAGCAATTTTCAATCATTCCCAACTTGAGACTCACCAATGTAAATGTGACCAGCTATTTACCCTAAACTCTGTATTTTATTGAAGAGCCCACACACAGGACTTCTCATGAGCAGGTATCTTTCTGTTGTTTGTACTAGTGTCAACAGACAAGTGGTATGTCCTGTTCTTTATCACTCGGGCAGAAAGGTGCCAGTCAGAATGAAGCAACATTTACATCATTATCCAGCTTGTTCTCACTATCTAAAAGGCAGATCTCTGCTTTCATTACTGCAGTGCTGCAAATATTTTAAGGTAGTCTAGCTCTGCTTCATACCACTATTCACTTCGCACTAGAAATAATTCAACAGAAAACATGTAATAAGGGACTACCTAAAGAATTAAAAATTAACTGGGTGTTGCCTCAGAATTCTTCTATTCCTCAAAAGGAATAGAACAATTTCACTTTTCTGTGCATTAACAGAAAAATAACTAGCTTCTGAAGAAAACAGTTGTGCCCCTCTTCAATCGTATCAGGCAAAAAACACAGAGACCCTTCTAGATTTTGCAGGCTGTAACATCTACAGCAAAGAACAAAGCCCTAAACTAGACTAAAATGTAATTTTCTATTCAAAGATGCACAACAGACACTTAAAGTTCAGGCATATGAAAGTTCTCCGGCACTCAAAAGTAAGAAATACACCTAATTATGACAGTCTTGATTTTAGATTTTTCTACCTTTAAAACTACCATAATCCTTCTAATTGTTTTTAGTGTTTTTATTTCTTGCTTAGAACATCCTTTGATAATCCCTTTTTCACTTGCATGTTATTTAAGTCAAATGGAAAATAAAGGGGGGGAGAGAAATGAAATCTGTGTCCCCCAAAAATACAGGAAACACACATATTCAATAAAGATTCTCAGATCGGGACACGTGTCAGTACAACTGCTGAAACTCAGTTATTAAGATGAGAGACTGTATCTAGAATGAGACAAGCACTCCATGTAAGGCTTGTATTCCTGTAGCAATCTGACATCCTACGTATTAAAGGAAAGAAATAAATAACCCCAAATTTCAATAGAACAACAAACCAAGAATACCAGGCATTATTCTGCAAGAACACTTTTACTAATATGAGAAAGCAGAAGCTTTTTGAAAGCTCGGGGTATGCAAAACTCCATTTCTAATAGTGTGCTTCTTCAGAGGTCAGCAGAAGAAACTATTAAAGACATTTGAGTAGAACTGCGGAGAGATTTGGTACTGCCTTAATCCCACCATTCTGAAAAGCATGCCAGAGTGAAGAGAGAAGAGGAAGTTCTCCAAGTCTTAGTGGTTCACTTTAATTTGTTTTCTTTTCCAGACAAATGAAAATTGACTCCCTCTACAGTGTCACTCACCATTCAGTGGAGAAAGTCTGAGGAAGTGAAGAGTCAGCAGTGCCAGAAACAAATATAAATACATCTAGCATTTCTGGATTCCTCTTGGAGGTTTTGTTCCCCAAGACAGCTCTTCTGTTACAAAAATACACAATGCAGATCCCTTGCTTTTAAAGAATTGTAGTTAAAATAGCTGTTTTTCCTGAATAACTTAATTAATTCCAGTGGAAGAGAAAGCAGAGGGCCTTTCAAAACTTAAAAGGAGCCTGAGAACATGTAGGAGTTCAACCAGATATCAAACATGTCGTTTCAAGTTCCATGAAGTAATAGAGAAATTTTATATCCTAGGTCAGTGCTGATCCAGTTTCTTCTGGATTTTTAAGCACTTCAGGAATACAACTTGCCCTGTTTGTACTGGCATCTATAACTGTCATCTGAAAACAGATGCTGGGGTTATTTTGTTATTTGTCTAAGGCCACGTCTGCATTAGGAAGCACTGCAGCATGACAGGAGTGGCACTACAGAGTGAAGTAGTCCTGTGGGTCAGACCCACATCACATGTGTTGCAGGACAGGGAGGGTAGAAGAGACACTGACTTTGGACAAGTCCTAGCCTGGTCCCTCTGACTGAATGTACACCAACTACTAGAGAGCAATAAGAGTATTCCAGGAACATGTCTCACATTAGTCTCACCCAAAAGGAATCCAGTTTGTGCTCCAAAATGTCTCCACAGCACAAATCAAAGCACTGTAAGTAGGGAAGTTCAGGATATGAGCTTCAGAAATGTAGTCATGAACTGACAAACTAACACACTAACACAGCTGCACCTTGCAGATCTGCAGGGACAAGTTTTAAGGCTAACACTGGAACAATCTGACTGCATTGCTCAAAACTGTTCTTGCTGCCAAGGCTGTGAAACCCAGGCAAGCGCCAGAATAAGCTTGCTGAAGAACAAAGCAGCTGGTATTCAGAACAGATAGATACCTGAAAAGAGGGACTTGGAAGAAACAAAAACCAAGTAAAACCCAACAAAACCCTCACAAACAACACCCCCAAACCCCACAAAAAGCAACACACCATCTCAAATAAACCCCACACAAACAAAAAAACCCCAACCCAGACAGACAGTATCTCAGAAAAAGCAGGGAGCAAAATAACTTTCAGGTTACCACAGGAGCAAGAGGTCTGAGAACCCTTAAACTAGGTGTGTACCAGACATTAAGACAGTTGAAATTCTTACCATGCTATCATGCTACTGGGATTACCATGCTCAGAGTGGGGACAGGAAAAGCAGACAGCTCCACAAGCACCACATTTTTTATCCAGATGTATTAGCTTACACCAACTTCCTAAATCTTTCCTATTCCAAAAGTCTCACTTCCTTTTCCACAAAGGTTCTCCTTTGTGGAGGAGAACAGAGAAAAGAACTTCCTGTCTCAGAATCTTTCAGCTGGATGCTCTCATTTCCTTCCTCAAGATGGAATTAAGATGCTGAAGGAAAATGGGACAGATACTAATTTCAGCTTGCTCCCACTGCTGGATTCTACTTGGGCGATAGGTTATATATAAACAAATTTCATAAGAGCCACCTGAAAATTTCAACTGCAGCCATGTAACTCAGTATACTTCCTGACAAATTCATTTTTTAATCCTAATGAAATAAAACGGTAAATAGGTTATTCCAAGAACTAACACACAGACAATGGTACTTCAATCTGAAGCATCACCTACCTTTTAGTTTGTGACACTTGTACAGAAAATACTTATTAGGCTGATGAAGAAAGATGAGCATTTATACTGGATATTTAATAAACCAGAATATCTTTGTAATTAAGGTTATAATTAACACAAGTCATACTTTGAGACAAAGATTAAATACCTGCACCGATCATGGTGATTGGAGATTCTATATATATCCATTCATCAGTATATATACCAGAGTGAACAAAGATAAGACCATCAAAATGAGCTTCTTGAACTCCACCAAGAGCATCTTCAATAGTATCATAATACTAGAAGAAAAAGGACAGGTTTACAGGGAAGTATATATGCAAAGATATAGAAATATTCTTAACAACTGCTTTAGAAACATACCAACATGTTTTCTCTTCCTTTGTATCTCGCAGGATTACTGTAGAAGTGTTCAGCAAAACCTGGCTTTACATGTGCTCCTTTGTACTGAAACAAGGAAAATAGTTTATAAGCTTGCAGACAGGTGGATCTGAGTCCACAAACAAGAGATCTACTAATTCCCTAATTCATAAGCCATTTGCTGGTATCAGTTTGTTCCAGGGACTAAGGATAGTATTCTGACCTCCCATATTAGGCACTCAGTTTGAAATGGCAACATCACAAAAAGTCTGAGCCTAAGTGATTGACTAAGCCAAGAAGCTAACCTACTTACATAACCACAAGCCTCTGAGGTGACTAAAAAGCCTCTTGTACCTTATCTGCTCCACAGCAGATGTTCTTATTTCCATCTTTTGATTTTCTAGCAGCTTGCCACAAAAAGCAAACTACAATTCTATGGCAAAGGAAAAAGAATCCTATACCTTCACTTTTGATGCAGTACAGAATGAAGAACCTTGCCCTCAACAAGCTTCAGAATTTTACTAACCAGTCACACATAGCATTGTATAATATACGCACCTGGATACATATTTCCCTTATTTATGTTTTTCAGATATTACACCAAGCCTTCTTTACAATACCTTTGAGACTTTGGACTGGAGGTTCAATCACATGCCTTAAAGGTAACTTGTTCAGATCCAGCCACATCAGCTGTAAATCCCTATTTAAGCCTAAGTGATATTATCAATATACTGTTTGGTTTACTATGGAATGCATACGAATCTGACAACCAGCACGCACACTAGTTTAGTAATATATGACAGCAACAATATATTCAAAGTTTATTTGCAAACCACAGACCATGACAATCTCTTCCACAAAATTTCAGTAATGTAAAACATGAGGAAGACATAGAAGAGCTGGATGTTCAAGTGGTCCACTTTACCGTGATGTGTCTCCCCCTAAAGTGTGCCTCAAACCATGAAATAACTTCAGATATCCCCCTATTGCATAACACAAGAATCTCTCCCTACCACCTCAGTGCCATCAACTTAAAGACTAAACTTGAAATCATTACTGTTAATCAGCCATATTTCAAAAGCTGGGGTTCTTGTATAAACCATCTTTAAATTGGAATATAAATGAATGCTACTGTTACCAGTTGCTGAAAGCTTTCTTTCCAGGGATTTGGATGTTCATATTCTTCTGGATTAATCTGATAAAATTTTCCAGGTTCAGGATGCATCATGGGGCGAGTGTACTCAAATACTTCCATATACAATCTTTTCCTGAGCAGAAGTGTCAAGCAGAAAAGAAAATTAGCATATTTCTGATTACTATTCTGCTTTAATATCTACATCAAATGTTAAAAACTGGGTTTTCTCAACAGTATTTGCCAGTTTGTGACAGTAAATTTGACCAAGATCACTACCAAATGCTTCCAAAACATTGTTTTTTCCTGTTAGACCAACTTCCGTGTACTTCTAAGAAAAATCCTGGCACGTATTTCATGATCCAAGCAGAAGAGTTCTCAAATTGTAATTGCCATGGAGAAACTTAACTAGTTAGTTACACTGGAGAAATCATATTCTAATTGTACATTAATTTCAGCATTACTTTAAGACTTAGAAAAGCTAGTAGCATAAGAACAACAAAACTTATATCACCACCTCTTCTCACCTTGCCAAAAAAAGCTGGAAAAAAAATAACGATGCATTCACAGAGAACAAACTTATGCCCTGTATTCCAAAAAGTTCATTAGTGGACACATTACAGTAGCTTAGAAAGAAGAAAATAGCACACAGCAATTGGATTCTTTCAATTAGTGCCAGAATACAAATAATAGCAGTGCCTGAGCCTGCTGACATTAAGACCAGACTTACAGGATGGCACTGAATCTCAGTAGTTGTAATTCATCTGACAAGACATCCCCAAAACTGTCTTTAGGACAGTAAGAGGGAAAAGAGAGAAGGGGGTGGGGAGGAAGGCATTTTTGCCATGTTATATTGAAATTTTATTCTTATTCTTAAAATCTTATTCTTTATAAAAATAAAAGGCTAAGAAACAGGTGTTAATTTTTCCCTTATAAAAAAATATTAATTCAGATCCCATTTCTCCAAGCTCTCAATAACCCATGGGTAAGATGGATTCATATGGGGGAAGAACCAGTCTGAGTATCCAATTATTAAACCAAACCAAACAAGCAATCTAAGTAACACTAGGCAAAACTTGCATGTAACATTAAGAAATGTGTTGATTCTTCTGCAGCAACACAATACCCGCAGAAGCCTGAAGAAGGTTAAAGAGGGGGGAAGAAGGAAAGTGGCTACTGAAGGAATGCCTCACTGATTTTTACGACAGTCATTATTTAACTAGTATCTACACTACAAGAGAAATAAAAGTTTTACTGCTTCACACAGATAACCAGACATTCCTAAGTTACAAATAACACTGAAGTAAGCCAGACGTATTAAAATACAATTGGCTTTATATCAGCTAATTGCAACCAACATACCAATTTTTCTATTGTACTGACATTTCATGCAGCACATCTAGTTTTTCCTCAAGATAATGAACAATAGCATTTCACTTACCACAAAATGGGATCATTAGCCAGCTCACTGAAGCGTTTACACACACAAGCTGCTCTACAGAGATCCTGCTCTAGCAGGTAGGAGAAGATCTTTAGAACCACTTCATCTGGCAACTTCTCCTGAAGATACTGCTCTGCAGGTGCTGCTAATGAACAGTAATCGATGTAAGATCATTGACATATTTAACCAGCCCAAATTCTGACTAAACCAGACCACCAATATGCCATCTGAAAGATTCCCATTTAAAATACCAACGGCCTCAAAGCAGCTTTTTTTGATTTTTGAAGTGTATTTTCACCTAAAGCTAAGGCATAAAAGAGGCAAACAGTTGACTCTGGATTCAAGTAGAAATTACAGTCTTCTTCTTTCAAAAATGCTTAGTCCACCTTTTCTATTGAAGGAATCAATGTGCATACAATGGCAGACATTAAGAAGGCTACTGTGTATGTTCCAGATTTACTGGCTCCTCACTATTAGCTTTGTTGTGACAATAGCAACAATAATTAATCCCAACATCAACATCTCTGCAAATGTTTTCAAACACAAAAGAATTTACTCAGAAATAGTGACTATCTCAAAAAGCTACTAGTAAAATCTCCTTTTCTCCCTCAGTGCACATAAGGAAAGAGAACATCTTTTGGGATGCAGGAAACCAGTAGCCAGCAACAGTTCAAGTCTCCTTCTTCCACCTACTCCCATTTACGCTCTCTTTTAAAATGAAAAATCCAAGCCAGAAGCAGCATTAGCCTTGCCAGACGTATGTCCTGAGGGAGGTCTGAGGAAACTGTTCCTGTATTGTGTGGCAACGTGAGTGTGCTTTGTTAAAGCCCTGCTCTTGGGCACATGCATGCTCTACATACGAGAGTTCATATAGGGAAACCCCATCTGCAGTTCGTGTTTTCCCAAGACCCTTGAACTCCCTTGGTGGTACATGTACAAAGATACATTGTACAAGCATCACCTTGGCGGTACATGTACAAGATACATTATACAAGCATCACCTGGGTGATTCACAAATACTGATTTCCCCTAAGATGTTAGGAGGGCATTTATCTAATGGACTGCTCTCAACAGTAATACATCTTACAGTCATAAGCTATAGGTACAGCCCACTTCAACAAAAAGCTACACTGTACAAAAGGCATGAGGGTCACTATTCCACATGCCCACAGCTATGAGCTCCCAAAGTATCTTTTAAGTTGGCAGCCCTGACCATGGCAGAGTAAAACAGATTCCTTTTTTCCTCATCCTTATCCACCTAAACTATTTTTTTTTCTGGATCAGCTCCTTGTTGTAGCTCACTGCAAGCTACAGAAGTGTTAGCACAAGGAAGGATACAGGAATGAATGCCCAGAAACTGGCAAAGATAGTTCCCTTCAGGATCTAACAAGCCAGACTGAAGAGAGGAAGTCAGCAAAATGAATAAAGAGCAAGTAGTCTGGAAAGGCCTCATGCTCAAGAGACACTTGAGGAGCCCAAAGTCTGGGGACCATATACCAGGAGTCCACGAGGTGAGCATGGCCGGGTATCACCAAAAAAGTCTTATGCACATGATCAATGCTAGCTTTAAAAGGTCCTTTTCCACTGAAGATATAAAGGTTCTTCCCCGTGTCAAACAAGCAGCAGCAATTCATTCTACAGTCCTAATAACCCTTGAAATGTGTAACAGGATTAACTGGACATTCCTTCTGAATTCATCTTTTTCCAGTAGCTTTCCAAGTCGATGTGGAGATACAGTCTTCTACTGTCTCACAAGCTGAAATGTGATACTGTGAATGCAAGGCAGTAAATCCTTAAAGCCTTCCACAACCTGTCTTCTCCTTTTAACGCACAAACCCTGAGGCATACAATCTGATCTTCCCAAGACACTCAGTTACTTTCCTAAATGAACTGCCGAAATTTTTCTTCCTTTAAGTTTATATATGTTAGGACCTTGATTATTCTTTTATTGAAGGGGAAGTTCACTAGTGTAATGCCCCCCACAGCTCAGTGGTTCATGGTATCGAGGCCCCATCTCAAGAGAGAAATTGAAACCCAGATGCGTTTCCTTACAACAAAGAGTAGGGACTAACCTTGTAAGTGCCAAAAAACTTCTTCAATTATAATAAATAGAAAGATAAAGCCAGAATAAGGTCTCCCAAACCCAGCAATTTTTTGAATTGTATTTACTTGGAAGCCTAGGCTCTGCTTGCAAAATGAAGACAATGATTTTAGAGGTGCTTGCTATCCTAACCCACCTTTATCCAAAATCCACAGAAATGAGGGACTGAAACTGCCCTTCTAATCAATTCAGAAGCAGTAGCTGATTTAAGATTCCTCCACTCAAACCACCGATACAGTGATTAGTAGGTAGAATTCTCCAGTACCATTTGACAAAAAACTAATTTGCTTCTTAATGTGAAGTCCTGAATACCACCTGGGTCCAAGAGAGAATGTCACGCTTTTCTTTTATACATTCACACTTCACCTTTTGGGCGTCTTTCCATAATCTGTCGAAGCCAGCTTACGAAAATAAGCCAAAATGGTTTAAACATTTATCTGGCCATCAAATCAGAAGCTTTTATGTGCTGCTACTCCTGACAGTTTCATGGCTATTGACAAGGTGAAGGTTAAACACATATAAATGCATATTCTTACTTTTAAAAAATAATAATAAAATTGTCAGTTTTCCAAGTGCTGAAAATAGACAAGAATAAAAATAAAATCACCAATCTTTACCTTTGCCCTAACAGATGCTAACAGTTGAACTATTTATGATTTATGATAAAGTGCTAATATACTAGATAACTGAAAATCAGAACCACAACTGGTTATGTCATTCTGTTTCCACAGGATATGTGTGAAGTTAATTCAGTTTCAATCCTGACCATTTAACAGACAGAAATCCGTGACAGTAATACCAAGACAAAGTGCAGAAAAAGCTGCCTGAAAGCTAATTACCTTCTTTGTACAAAGACCAAGAATGCCATTCATGAAACCCAAACTGTAAGTTATATCTTGTAGTGGTAACTTTTATGTCCATTTTAATGGAGAAGATTGAGACAAACAGCTTTTATTCCATAAGAAGGCATTTAGTAAAAATACTTTCTTATTAAGAAGTAGAAATATGCCAGAAAATACAGCATGCAGTATTCTTGGGAAAAATACCTGAGTAAATCAATAGGAAAAGAAAAATATAAATTTAAAAGGCATTAAGTTCTCTGACCTATGAGCAGTGCATGTATCTAATGCACAGAATAATCTATGAGTGATCCAGTAACTCAGGGTTCTCAGTTATCCACTGAAACTCTGTAGTTCAGAGAAAAGAAAGAAATCATCTCTGAACTGAAGCCTGCCAAAGATGGTTAAGTCTGCAAGAACTGCCCAGTATAAAATGGTTATGCAAATATAGTGATCTTAAAGCAAGAGAGGAAGGAACCTACACAGTAATAAACAAAAAGGATGAGTACATCAAATGATTAAAACCCTGGATTAGAATGACAAGTGGCAGTGAAGACTGAAATATCCCAGTAAGCAGAAGCATATATTTACAGTTGAGATAATGTAAGGAAACTGTCAGAGTGTAGAGAATTGCAATCTTTCTGTAAATCAATAAATACTGTATTAGCATATGAAACAAATATTTGGATCAATAAGATCTAAATGTTGTAAATGCTTTCTACAGATGTCTAACAAATGCTGACTTTGGAGGTTTACCAGTCAGCTGTGATGCAAGCAGCACAGCTCCATCATATCTATTTCTTGACTAAATTTTTGGTTTTTGTATTTTTTTGTATTCTAAAATTTCTCTTTCCTGTATTTCTATGTGTTGCTTTCCCATCAAGATTCTTGTATATTCACTGATCTTTCTGTCTCAGGATTGAAGAACTTGTTGCCAATCACAGGACAGAGCTGCAAATGGTAGGAAAAAAAAACACATCAGTATTTCAAAATTCTAATGTGTTCTTTGTGACAGTATCAGAGACTGATATCTCCCCCTCCCCCCCCCCCCCCCTTACAATTTGAAATGGCAACTCTCAGCAGCAGTAATTCTGAAATCAGTACTAAAATAAGGAATAGTCTTCTGTTTTTCCAGCTACTGGCTCCAATCCAGTTGGAAACTAACTGACTCCATCTCTCATTTCCACCCAAATTTTCCTTAACTCAGAGTCCATGTGAGAAGGAACGGTTCTCCACCAACACGATCCTGTGTTTCTAATCCCACGCTTTCATTTCATCCACAGTTCTGAAAAAAGCAGCTGTATGTTCCAGATGACAATATACAATCTCCACTGGTGGCAATCCAGAAAGTCTCATGCTTACAACTCAGTCACAACAGCTATCATTATCTAGGCTAACAAAAACTGTGTGTGTATGGGGAAATCTCACTGCAATCGATACCTGTACAAATTTAGAAGATTACTTCTGGAACTCAATTGGGAAAATAAAAAATAACCATTCTTCATATGGGGAAAGAGATTAATAGAAAATGGGTTAAGAAGGACACTCTTGTTAGACTGCGACTGGTTTGAATACAATCTTAAAAGTACAATAAAAATAAATCATTGATTACAATTCCTCTGGTACTTCCATGTTGGAGAAGCCCCCACAGTCTTTCCCCACATGAACTCAAGAATGTAACAAAAGGAATGTGCAGTCAAAACATGGAGAATTCCTTTGGAAATCAATGTCTTTCATCCTGCAATTTGTACCACAGAAGTCAAATCACATACCTTCTCTAAAGCAAGAACATGAGTACAAGCATAAGGAAGAACACATCAAAAGTGAATGACCTTGAAAAAAAACCCTAAGAACTAGCAAGAGAAACTGAGTCTATGACAAGGCGAGTTTGCACAAGGCTTCAGGTATCAAATCAGGAAATGAAACTATAAGTAGAATGGCACAGGTTGATGTTCAGCTAGTTCTGGTTGTTTCAAGGATATAAATCTGAGATGATTCTTGAACAGTTGCTGAAATTATAAGAGTTAATGGGGGGCTTGAAAGAGAAAATCTAAGCTATGGAGAGGGTGAGAAGCCAGAAAGAACAGACTTCAACAGAAGCAATCAAAATGGACCAAAGCCTTGTGCCAGCTGCTCAGTTTTAACTCACAAAGTTAAGGGAGACATGGACTAAAAACCAAAAAACCCTAAACAAACAAACAATCAAAACCTCCAACACAACAAACAAGAAAAGCAACAGAAACCACATCAATGGGAGTTTGCAAGAGCTGGTGTTGATTTTCCAGGGAAGAGTGACAGCAGATCTCCTGGAACTAAAGAGTGTGTCAGGAGACAAAAAGAAACGGAGAGTGAAAAAATGATGCAGAAAAAAAGAGAACAAGTAGGGTATGTATGTCTATGTATGTGTGTGTGTGTGTATAAATATACATATGTGCATGCACACACACAATATAATTATATACGCATGTACTGCACGTATGTGCTCATTATACAATGTACATATATATATTACTATCTATCAGTAAGTATGTGTAGTTTTTTTTACTTACAAGCACACATAAATTCTCTCCCTCTCTCCACAATTAGGTGCTCTAATGACACACTGAAACTACCTCTAAACAATATACTGGAACAACACATCAACATGAGAAACAGTAAATACGCCTAGTCAGAGTGCTGCACCACTGCAGCATTACTGCTTCTAACAGTAGGTTGGATACATCTACACAGCATTCCAAGGAGAAAAAAAAAAAACCAAACAAAACCAGAACAAAATCAAAAACACCCAAACCAACGTGCCTGCAACATGCCACACTAAAGGATCAGATTCTAAATATCAGATTAAATTCATCCTTCCAAGTTTGAAGTTCAGAACAAGTTTGCAGTTGTTTTTTCACTGCTGTTTCTTGGTTGGAGGACAGACAGGAAATCTAAGTTTGGGGGTGGTTTGTGGGTGTGTGAAGTTAAGTGATGTCTCCACCCCTTCTTCCCCACCCCCTTTATTGTATAAAAAGTTATTACCTGATAAATCCTGGGACTTTCCAGATACTCTTGCACGTTTAGCTCGGTGACCAAAGTTTTCAGTAGCTGAAGTGGAGGCACCCTATAAATAAGAATCAGTTCAATCATCAGGTGGCTTATGAAAAGTACTGTTCTTGCTGTTCTTAAACCAGTAAGGTTTACTTTACAATTATATAAAATCAAACAAGCAAGTTACCTCCATGCTGCTCTTTGTAGGGCAAGCTGTTCTTTTAGGTAGAAGAGTTTTTCTGCGAAGTTGGTATGGACTATTTTGTGCACCAGGACCTGATTCTTCTGCAACCATATCTGCAGGTACATCATCATCTGTCAACAGAAAAAAAAAAAGAGAATTTGCCAATTGGGATTGAAGTTTTGGTTTATACCAGAAAAAGGCTACAGAAGTTTTCAGATATAGACATCCAGCCAGAAGCACGGGGAAGTAGTGCTGGAGCACGGAGGACTTCTGGTGGGGAGTGCGGGGAAATCAGAATATATACACAGCATACATAAAATTACATGAGAAAGTACACATGAAACAACTTCTCATGTACACAGCAGCTATACCAAAAGCTGCTCAAAAAACCTCAAACCACCAAACACCCCCCCCCCCCAAAACCTAGGCTTTCAGTTTCTCTGCAAGCACGTGCTTGCACTCACTGTGCTAATTCCATAACCTCATCACCTCAAATTTCTGACCTAACACTACCAGCATAACCAGGAACGCTGGAGCTTCAATTATTAACCAGGTGTTATCAAGAAAGGCTTTAGTAAACACAGCATTTAGTACAAAACTCAAGGCAGAATTTTCCCCAAACATTTCAGGAATAGCCTAGGCCAGCATACAAATGCTTCTGTAAAATGGAGACAGCTTTAAATACAAACAGTCCGTTTACCTAAATTATGCTGTAAAAGAGTGTATTTTCTCCAAACCCTTAAAAGTTAACAAAAATTACACCCCACCAAAAAGTGCAGGAAGTGTGGTGAATAAGCAGTTTTTTATTTGTTTCAATGATGTAAAAGTGATAGCCAGAAAAGCGATACCATTCAGTAAGCAGTTTTCTTGAATATATTTCAGTGAAGAGAGACAGATGTAAACACTAAAAACCACACCAAACCAATAACACCGCCCCCCCATAAACCCCTCTATCCTTCAAATATTAAACCAGTCTGTTTAAAAACCACAAATATAAGCAATTTTAAAACTTCTACAGGTCCCTGCCATGATCCCAATATCATCATTTTCCTATGGGTTGTTTTGTTGGGAGGGGGTGAGCTTTGACATAAATTATAAACCACTTCATTTACATGGGATGCATGCCATCATAGCTCAAGCTGCTACATCTGTGACAGCTAACCAACAAAATTCTGAAGAAAAAGCTATTCCAGCGTCCTGCTCTTTTCTGGTCCAAATTTCTCATCATAAAGACTGCCAGGACATCTAAATAGATGACAGAAGCTGGTGAAAGGATGAAGTTAGCTCGTGGCACGTGTGCCACTTCACACAGTCAGCTCAGGGCAATCTAGGAGAGCGTCATCAGCTCCTTAATCCCCCTGAAAACCAGCCCTGCCAGAAGCACCTCCATGATCAGCCTTCAGCCAGCTCAGCAGCTACTCCTGCTCTGTGCAAGGAGGGGACAAGACCACACAACTGGGAAGAACCACCACCCCTCTACCCCTTCTGCAGCAACAGCACAGGATTTAAGGACAGAAGTGAACTGTTAAACTTTTACCAAAAAGCCACCACTCTCTTAAAATAACAGAGGCAACCTCTGTAACTTCAGCTAGAAGCTAGCTCACTCGCCCTCTCCTTGTCTGCTGCATACATGACGTGCCCCACTAGCATCTCAGTATTTCTCTGCCTATGAAGGCAAAGTATTTATGCGTTATGGAAAAAACTTACAGGACAGTGATAAAGGAACTGCAGTGCATTTTCCTGTTAAGAAGTGCCTGGTCCAGAACTGGCATCGCACACCTGTGGAAGGTTACTGACCCCAGAGCAGACCCATTGTATACTCACAATTCAGTTACCTAATTTTACCTGCCTGTCAAAAGTACATGAACAATTTAACAAGATACCAGCAGATAGAAGAGAGAAAGTGCTACAGAAGAGTTCCCAGCTTTCCCTTATGCATCAGGGCAGAAAAGGAGCAGTGGGTCTGTCACAGTTTAAACCCAGCTGGTAAATCACCACCACGCAGCCACTCACTCATCCCCCCAGGAGGGATGGGGAGGAGAATCAAAAGAATGTAAACCCCACAGGTTGAGATGAGAAGAGTTTAATAATTAAAGAATAAAAGAAAGAATACCAACAATAACGATTATCATAGGAAACAACAAGAGAAGAAATGAAAGCCCAGAAAACACAAGTAATGCACAATACAACTGCTCACCACCTCCTGACTGATGCCCAGACCTACCCAAGCAGCAAATGGTCCCTTCTGGGTGACTCCCTTGGCTTATATACTGGGCATGACGTGCTGTAGTATGGAATACCCCTTTGGCTAGTTCAGGTCAGGTGTCCTGTCTCTGCTCCCTCCTGGCTTCTTCTGCCCCTCCTCACTGGCAGAGCATGAGACTGAAGAGTCCTTGATCAGAGTAAGCATAACTTACCAGCAACTAAAACACTGGTGCGTTATCAGCATTGTTCTCAGACTAAAGTCAAAAACACAACCGTGCATCAGCTACCGGGAGGAAAAATAACTGTTACAGCTGAAACCAGGGCAGGGTTCAAGGTGGGCCCCACCATGAGGAATACAGGCAGACACCACCAGCAGCAAGGCTGTCTGACAGCAAAGCACCCGAACACTGCAGCACGTATCCACTTCTCACCCCTCATGTCTATTTAATATCCGATATAACAATTGTGATTTCTGTTGTTACTACCCCCAGAAGCATGCTACTCAGGGATTTTCAGTGTCCTACCTTACGCTTTTTCTCCTGTTTTGCATTAAGACACAAAAGGACAGCTCCCCACCCCGTTCTGAATGGTCAGTACAATAGTTCAGAATTGTCACATGAAACACAGCAAAAGCAAAGAAAATAGGAGGAAGAAAAGAAATAAATCAAAGGACAGAATTTTGATCCCTTGATAGGCGATGAAAAGGGCAGAGACAAACCCCAGTCAGGTCTTTAGAAGTAAACCCATGGAGGCAACCAAGGACAAAACATACTACTGCTGGAAAGACAAGGCAGAAGCCTGTGGGGGAAAATGGAAGTAAAGGTCAGTTTAGCTGAAACACTGAAGGACTAGCTAAGCAGAAAAGAAATGTATTCATTTTCTTGCAGTGGATTTGTGAGGGTGGCAGGAGTCCCACTTGAAGATCACTTTTCAAACACAGATGACATTCAGGGATATGCACACATTCACTCAGATTCACAGCAGTTATCCAAAGAATTAAAGTCATCTTTTTCTCCATTGAATGGCAAAAAAGATGAGAGAAGGGCACTGAGGGAAAGTACAAATCCATGCAGCAGGCAGGAAGCAGAAGGGTGCCCAGGGCACACACATGTGCCAAGGTGCCCATCACCACTGAGCAAAGCTGGCCTGGAGGCACCAGGGAACATATCATGACAGCGGCTCACATGAGAGCAGCTCATGGGGAGAAAAGTGCCTTAGGAACCAAAAGCTTCCACCCAGCCTGGCCCTGCCTAAACCTTCTAATTGCACACACATAATTTCATGGCTAGGAAATGATAAGCAGACTCAGGCAAGTTAGATGACTTCTTTCTCATCAGCAGCTACACCTTCGAGGGACTGACCAGCTCCTGCATAGATTTAGAACATTTCAGGGCCATTAACAACTGATATGTGGCCTTTGGAGTTACTGTCAAATGAAACACTATCAGGAAAGCCAGGAGTTTTAAGTAATCTGTTACAGCAGCAGTCTTGGTGCTTGGTTTTAGCCTTCCAGATGCTCCACACTGTAAGGTCTGAACAGACTCAACAGCTACAATACCAGCTTTGAGATAAGTACTTCTCAGAACGTACTATTTCCTGAAGACTGCACATTACCTTTCCCTAAGCAAGCAACCTGGCAACACTCAAAACAGACTTGAGAACTCCACCAGCTGAATTTTGAAAATCCTTCCCTAAAAAACACTCTCACATAACAGACGCATGTTTGCTTTGAAGTAGAGAAATCAACTTTAAAATACAGAACCTCAGTGCCTCGAACATGTTTTGGAAAACCCGGGTTTAAAGCACAACTGTATCAGCTACTACATCTAACACAAATAAGAGGCATTATAATCACATTTATTGATGGTAGAAGTATTCAAGTCAATAAACAAATTTGGAGGAGTGTGCGTCATGTTAATATCCTCATACAAACACCTGCTGAAATGACTGCCAAATGCTGTCACAGCTTTACCCAAGTCAACACATTTGCAGGTTTTAAGATATTAAATTAAGCTAAATCTGCTCTCAAATCAATGTTTACCTGAATATTTTACACCAATTATATTGCCTAGTAAGATAAAATAATTTCAAGCAAAATCATGTTTCTTGAAAATTAAAACCTTAATGATACTGACAGGTCAAACCTAAATAATTTCAGAAGTATCTTGATACTTCAAAACAGCTCATGAAACCTGACCCATAACAGCACAAGTTTTAACACCCACAAAAGACTTGTAAGCGCAAATACTTCCAGGAGGAAAAGAAAAATGAGATTAACCTGCCACTCTGTCAACTGCTATAAGCAAGAGAGTCTTGCATTTCCACAAATGCTATGTGAGTCTCTACTTTCAAGTGTGTAGGACAAAGAGTATAAAATTAACTTTATTCTGTTCCGTGAAGAGACTGTAAGTTATGGAAGAGTGACAACGGACTGCCAAAATAATTTACAATATATATATATATACACACATGCACAGGTGAAAAGCTTGATCATGTCCACACCATCTTCTCAACAAAACACATGTGCATGTGGTTTTACTTCTACGTGACACATGTTCAGATAGTATTTCCAAAAGGAGTCTTACATATTAATGATGGCTGCCATGAAGAAATAAGGCTAATAAAAAGCTTGGGGGAAAAAAAAAAAAAAGTATTTAACACACACACACCCCCACCCCAATACACTCTTACCAGAAAAAAAAGAAAGAAGAAAAAAAAAAAAAAGAGGGTTTCAAGGATAATTTGTAGAGTTTAATCAGTTGTAACACAGTAATTTCACTTTTTTGTGCTGTTTTTCTGTATCTTCCCAAAATGGGGTAGGGGAAACACAACAAAAATAGAAAGTCCAGAGATGCAAAATGTTGGGGGCGGCAGGTATTCCCAAACAGGCACAGCACTGGGATTATTCCTACAGATTGGGGAAAGA